GTAATCGACTAATCGAGGTAGCGAGCCGACCATTCAGTGTTTAATTTAACCCCATTCCGGCCCTTTCCGGGTTGTGTTCAACTTAAACCCGACCCTTGTACATCCCTACTTGCTGCAGTATCGCTAACTCGACATCTTGGCGGTGGCGGCTTTTTGGATCCCTCCTTCCAGGGTGCAGGCGGGATTCGATCCCAGGTCTCCGCTAGAACTAGCCAGAAACTTTACCAGCTAGCACCCTAACCAGGTTATTTGGGAACTCGGCTGTTTCGAATGGTCTTCGTAGTACTAGTAGTTCACATACAGGTAAAAGACTTCATGCAAGAACAAGGAATTTCTTGATTTATCAAAAAAAAAAAAGGAATTTCTTTCATCAGTGCGAGAAATTGAGAGGTGCTTCTTGTTCACTTGAATTTTGTCTTTTCGATCTGATGCATAAACGGGCAACTCGAATTTCGTGTAGATCTCTAACGACGTTTCGATAATCCTGGTTTAATATATATGATGGTTTAAAGCTTCTCTATCGATTGCCATGGCCGCCCCGTTCTTCTCAACGCCTTTCCAGCCTTATGTTTATCAGGCAAGCTTTAAATTTCCTTGTTAATTTTGATTGCTTCCATGTCACTGTGTTTTTTTGGGTATGCTTTATTCGTTGATTGGTTCCATTGCTGGATCTGCTATGTATCTATCTAAAGATCTAGTTAAAATTTCGTGTTTTGATGTGCATTAGCAGAGAACTCTATTTCTGTACGAATTAGGGTTTATATGACTCATGTATGCCTCGATTATCATTGTGTTTTGTTTTTCCTAGTTTGATCACATCGGCTCTCAACAGCTTATAAATGGAAATTTATCCGTTTATTGTTCTTCCACCTGAACTTTTTGTTTTATACAAATTTGACATTTTGTAGCTTCAATTGCATATGATTTTGGGCTTATGGTGAATTTTGAGGTGCTTGTTTTCAACTTGTTGATGCCATAATCATCAAGAACTGAAGTACTATAATGGTCTTTAAAAGTCATAACTCTGGAACCAGTTGACCTTACAAGGATTTTTTACAATAATTATATCAGGTAGGAGTTTTGTTCTGACATAAATTTACAATATATACTTATCATTTCACGCTATAACCAAACATTCATTTTTAAGAAGAACCTGTAAATGTCTAGAACCTTTACTATTCAGAGTTGATGGTCTTATGCTTCATAGACCAAGAGCCTTTATATCCCTTCTTATCATGTTTTCCTCATTGTCTGTGCTAGTGTTGTCCCGCATAAGTGGGATTGAAAGCATGTGTATCTTACCATTGCATGGTGAATAAGGGTCCCTTTGATAACAGCTGAAATGGCTGAACTGAATAATTTAGTTTTTTGTCATTTAGTGGATAAAATAATTAAATAATAAAATATTCTAAGGGTATAGGAATCGGCCCAATTTCAGCTTCAGTCATTAAGGAGCTCTCAACCTCCTAAATGACACAAAGCTAAAAGTCTTTTTTGATTGGTAAGTATGAAATAATGTATAGGAAAAGCGAGGGGGAAGAGCAAGATGTATAAGGAAAGCACTGCAGGGTTGCCTCAGGAAAGCTTTAAAGCCAACTCCATTCCATCATACAAAGAAATTGTATGAATTCCTGCTCAGCCTGCTAGTATGTTCTAGTAGATATGAGAACATGGTTTTATGGCTAGGACTCTAATCTTGTAGGTATGGAATAATATATACCTGACTTATATATTTAATCTTGTAGGTATGGAATAATACTCTAATCTTGTAGATATGAGAACAAGGTTTATTACTTTCTTTGCCTTCTTATTATTGCTTTTCTATCTTGAATTTTCACACCGCTAATCCATTTCCAAGCTTTTTCATTGCTATCTATTTGGGTCCCATCATTCCACTGCCAAATTTCTTATTATTCAATCCCTTGACTTGTTCTATCCCTTTCTTAGATTCAGTCTGGGTAATGGTAACCAAACCATAGTTTGGACTGATCTATGGTGGGGTAGAAAACCTCTCAAATAAGCTTTGTCATCTCTGTTCAGGTTAGCTCAAGATAATTAGGCCCTTGTCTCATCCACAATCCTTCTTGAAAACCAAAGTTTCTCTTACAATTATTACTTCAGAAGAGCTTTGAAAGAACCTGAAATTTCTGAAGTCTCTTCCTTGATCTCCTAGCTTTCAGAGGCCTATATATCTCACTCTATCTCAGATAGGGGTGGCCACGAGCCGAGCCTTTCATGAGCTATTCGAGCTCGGCTCGTGAAAAGCTGCCGAATTCGAGCCCGATATATAGGCTGGTTTGCTAATCGAGCCGGGCTTGAGCCCAGTGAAGCTCGGCTCATGAGGCTCGCGAGCCTAATATTAAATAAATAATTTTTATTATATATAATAATATTTTTATTTTTTATGTATAATAGTAAATAATTTTTATAATTCTTATTTTCTTGTATGTAAAATAAAAATAATTTTTATAATTATTTTTTGTATATATAATATTAAATATTTTTTATAATTCTTAATTTTTTGTTTGAAAAATAAAAAAAAATAATTTTTTTTGCAAGCTATGAACCAAGCTGAGCTCGAGCTCAAGCCTCTAGCTCGAATCAAGCTCGAGCCTGATACTATTCTTGTGAGCCGAGCTCGAATAGCCAAGTATTTAGCTTGGCTCGGTTTGAATCCACCCCTAATCTCAGATAAACTAGCTTGGTCCCTCACCTCTCCACCATTTTGGACCAAACAGGATTTGGCTCTTTTAAGTTCCCCCTAGAGTCTCCTTTGTCATTTGGGAGGTTGCTTGGGAGAAATTGAACATTTGTTACAACCTCTAGAAGAAAAAGAAAAGGAAAACTTATATTTCCCCTCGTGTTTGCATTATGTGCCTTAGAGATGGGGAGTCAATTGGCCACTTGCTCATTAGGTGTGATCATGGTCTGGGCTAGACCTAGGCATTGGGCCTATGCCATTAAATATACTATATTTCATTATGTATAGCTTTTTATATGTCCAGAAATTTGCAGGCTTGGGCCAGGCTGGGCCTGAACACAAAAACCTTGGCTTGAGCCTTGGAGATCCTCAAAGAAAATTAAAAAAGAAACACTTGAAGATCCTCAACCTAGTTGCTGGATTTTGAAGTAGTAACTAGGGTTTTATACATGCATAGAACAATGAATGTGGGCACTTGGTAGCTGAGGTTGATTAGGTACCTTGTGATGCCTCAGCATCTTATACCTTGTAAATACAACATTTTTATCACACTAATAAAAGTGAACAGTTTTTCTTTTTTTTTTATCAATAACAGAAATATTTCATTGATATGGAAGCAGATTAAGCATTAGTACAACAAGGAGAGATAACCTCTCTTGTCTCTCCCAAAAAAGAAAGAAAGAAGAAATTACAGAACAGTCCAAAACAGATTACTTCTTCCCACCCCTTGTTTGGCCGACATATCAGCAAAGGAATTAGCATCCCTTTTTACCCATTGAAAACAGACCTCCAAGTCTTGTAACAAATTGTCTATTTTCCTTCTCTCATAGATATAATCCCATCATCCAGCATCCTCCTCCTTTTGCAGCCAATCTATAACCAATTTAGAGTCCTCTTTGATCATCAACAACAAATATTTTGAAAAAAAAAAGATGCCAGAGTTAGGGTGTAAATTGGAAATTAAGAACTACACTACAGTTTGAGGCAATATTTTAAAAGTGCAAGGTGCAGGAAGAGCACAAGGGCCTTTTAGAGTCTGAGGTGCAAGGTGAGGCGTGTGCCTTTTCGAAAAAAGGTGCAGATTTTTGAAAAACTCAAAAAATAAAACAGTTATGCATAAAAAAAATGAAAACCTGAATTTTAAAGAAATTAAATGTTCTAAAAAGCCTGTTTACTCAAATTAAAAACATAAGCATAATATACAAAACATATTTAAAGTGAAAATGTGGAAGTGAAAGCAAACATATGTGGATTTTTGCAAAGTGCTTCAAGCACTCAATAATTCAAGCATGCAAAACTTTCAATTTGTTTATTTGTCTCATAGTTGTATTACTTCAAGTAGCTAGTGTGATGTTAAACATCTAGGAGATCGTCCCTTTGCCTCTATAGAGGCCCTTGAGGCAAACCCAAACAAGTCCATGTAGGGGATTGGGGTAACACCCTCGACCTAAATTTTTGTCCTGTTTATATAAAATGGCTGGTTTTGTAATTTTAGTCACAGTTTATTCTATTTAGGACTAGATCATATATTAGTTGTATTGTTGTTGCTTCTTTAGTGGAAATTTTGATACTTGAGATCCTATTTGTAAGAACTAAGGCTTCATGTATTTTAAAGGTCTTTCTTTTTTGTTTATTTTGAAAGTCAATAGACCATTACTTGATACAAACTGCAATAAAAGGTGATTTAAAAGATGATAACCCATTACAAAGGTGCAAATCACTTACGAAAAAAAAAGCACACACTGGGCTGAGGTACAAGGTGCATGATGTATGCTTTTGAAAGGGGCCATGCCTAGGTTCAGGCAAGGCACATGCATTAGAATGCATCTTTCCTGTGCACCTAGGGGCACCTGGCATACCTTTTAAAACACTGGTTCAGGGTTGTCAAATAACCAACAATAAGACTAGAAAAACTTTGTGTTTTTGGGTTTACAATTGGAACTAAATGGGCCAAGTTGTAGAAAAATTCAAGGGAAACTAAGAAAGATAATTGGGAATTTCACCCCCCTTCTTAAGTTGAACTGGTCTTACTACTCCCTGGAACAAAGCATTGGTGGAGTTTCACCAGCAAGAATTGAGCATGTGATTTTACCACAAAAAGAGCATGGAGAAAATTTTTTGTTCAATAAGGCTATCTATTTATATCCTTAGGGTGGAATTTTATTAATCACAGTTTGCCCCAAATCCCATGGAATTCAGATTATAACCCCTAAGGAAATGGATATGCTTTCATTTGTGGAGTAGTTGCCACCATTTCAGAATGTCACATGTGCCCTTTTTGGTGCAACAGGATTGACTATAAGAATAGGAGCTTGTAGAATTTGCTGATCAATTTGATTTCTCCCCCCAAATTGTTCTAGTTGAGGACACAACTTAATAGATGCCATTAGTTTAAGCCATCTATTTAAAGTGATACAGGGGTTTCAATGGTTTTCTCTGTATAGGACCGATTTTCCTAAAGAAAAATTAAGTACTTGGACTCTTTAACTTTGACTTAGATAGACACCTAAAAACTTTCTGATTTCTTTATTACAATATAAAAGATTTTAAATCAATTAAAGAACTATTAAACAAAATGGAACTGTTTCTTTTTATTTTTTTGATAGGAAGCAGTTACTTTCATTAAAGATAATTAAACACAAATACAACTATCAACCACTCAATTATAGGGTGTTGACCCCATTGGAACTGTTTCTTAAACTAAAAAACAAAGTATAATATTGTGTACTCCAAAGTCAAAACAACATAGAAACCACTGGAAATAATGATATTCATTAAGTGACATTTTGGAGATCTCTCTCTCATATCATGTCCAGATGACATTCTTGAAGCTTAACAATCAAAGCAAGTTACAGGCATTCTTGACATGACATGATTTATATGGAAAACCCATGATAATACAATGTCTAGAAATTAGAGTTTTTTTTTTTTTTTAGAAGAGGTAAAGTATTAATTCATTAGAAAAGAAAGGCAAAAAAGACCCATGTACAAGCAGAGGCTATACAATGGGAAACTACATAAAACATTAGACCACGGTGTTTTAAAAGTGCAAGGTGCAAGGTGCAAGGCAAGGTACGTGCCTTTTTGAAGCAAGGCGCAAAAATACAAAAAAACCAAAAAATAAAAAATGTCAGGAAATTCAAAAAAATGCCAAAAAAATAAAAAATATTAAACATAATATTAATAAAAAATATAAACTTAAATTCTTAATTCTCTCACACAAGTCCTTTGTACCAAGCCCCTCGAGGCAAGCCCAAACAAGTCCATGTTAGGGTCTTAAATTCTTAATTCTCACACAAAAATAATGATTTTATAATTTTAATTGCCTTTTAAGAAGACATTTTATTAGGATGAACGAATGAACAACATTAGCAAATAGGGGGTTCTCAGAGATTTGGTGAGCAAGTGAAGCGAGCAAATGTTGTTCATTCGTTTATCCTAATAAAATGTCTTCTTAAAAGGCAATTAAAATTATAAAATCATTATTTTTGTGTGAGAATTAAGAATTTAAGACCCTAACATGGACTTGTTTTGGCTTGCCTCGAGGGGCATGGTCTGGGGGTGGCACCCCTGGCCCAGCTGCTAGGTTCAAAAAAAAAAAAGCATAAAAATTTAAAGAGGCACACACCTGGGCTGAGGCACAAGGTGCATCATGTGCACCAGGCGTGCGCCTAGGACTTAGGCGAGGTGCATACCTTAAAATGCGTAGGTGCACCTTTTAAATCACTGAAACCACTATCCTATTTGTGATTACAAAAAGGTTTTCATAGTGAAGGAGAGAACTAAGGGGAACACTGTCTCTGGATAGGTGTGCTGATGTCTAGGATAACAGTTTCCCAACTATTTTCTGCCACACTTCCTCCTCTTGACAGCCTTTTCTGCGAAAGAGCCTTGAGTTTCTTTCCTGCCATATCGACAAGAAAACTGCTCCTGGGACCAATTGCCATAGAATTAGTGCATGAAGACTTCAGTGCTACTAGATGAAAAAAGAAAAAAGAAAGATGATTCAACTCCCAAGCTTGGTGTTGGCTGCATAGCTGGGCTCTATTCTGACAGAAGCTAGTCTCCAGGCACCTCATTGTTGATCACTTTTGTAATATCATTTGTGAGAATAACACCTTCGCCACAGCATTAATTCATTTGTGAGAATAACATCATCATCATCATCATCATCATCATAAATTTGAAATGGCACAAAAGTTTCCAATTTCCAGTTTAGTGGAAATGGACTTTTTTTATGTAAAACTTTGGAAAATGTAATGTTGACACTTGACATGATTAATACTTAGTACCAATTACCAAAATACAACAGAAGTAGTCTATCCATAAAAAAATATATATACAAAAGTAACATATATAATGTATGTGGCAAGCTAAGGAACAATATACTCATTCATGGTCATATAGGGATGCATTGACAATTAGAAAAATATTTATACAGATTTGGTTAACAGAATAAACTGTACTGTTTCTTCTTAATATCTATTTTTTCTGATTCTCATATTCCTTGTGTTGCTTAAATAATGAGGACAATGTTTTGCAGAGTCCACAAGCATCTGTGACACCTTTTCAGATTTTGGGAGGTGAAGCTCAGATAGTTCAGGTACTTGGTTCAAAATGATCACTGTACTATTGCAATTGTTACTTATGCCTTTTCTGTGTTAACTCATGGAACTGATAATATCCTTTTTATGTTCCTGGTTTTTGGTAAACAGATCATGCTAAAACCACATGAGAAGGTTATTGCAAAGCCTGGTAAGTATCCTGTATTGTTTATTCTGTTTAGAATATGAGTAATATGGGAAGTAAATATATGTTACAATGGATTGGCCAAACCTTGTCTTGTCTACTTGACTTCTGATAGGACTTAGTTTTGAGTAGTTAATAAATTTATTATTTTATCTGCTTTCTGGTTCAAGCTAACTATCTAATCTTCAAAATCTTTTAACTGATTTATGTTCTATTGGTCCTGAACCTGATTGTGTTCAAATTATACTACATTAAATCCTTTTCATATTGGACGTAATAGCAAATCCTTGGTCATAAAAGGAGAAAATGTTGACATTGATAAAAAAAAGGAGAAAATGTTGACCATGGAAAAAGATACTAAAATGGTAAATATATTTATGAGCCATGGTTTCCTATTTTAAGTGGACAAGCTCTACTTCTCAAACGATCTGTTCACCTAATTATTTTCTGTTCAGCTCTCTTTTGCCAGTAATTTCCTACTTGGTATTCTTTGTCTAAATTGCAGATTGTAACTAGACATTTACAAAAGGAGGTCCCATGGTGTATCATGTTTGCTGATGGTATAGTATTGCTGGACAAGGCAATACCATGCCATGGATAAGGCTAACGATGGGCTGAATGAAAAGGTAGAACAGTGGAAGATGCTGTAGAATTAAAACTTTCCAAGACAAGTTGGATTAAGACATAAAACATGTTATGTAATTTAGTCGAAATACTAGTAATAATGTTGGTTCAATTAAGACTTATAATCAGGAGATACATCAAAGTAACCACCTCTGATACCCTGGATCAGTCATCCGTCATGAAGGAGAAAATGAAGAGGATATTGCCATAGAATTAGAACAGGGTGTTAAAATGGAGAGGTGCATGTGGTATGCTGTGTAACTGGCATATATCAAGGAGACTAAAAGGAAATTTTTAATAGTACAACTATAAGACTAGCATTTTCATATAGATATGTGCCCCAAGCAAAAAAGTGAAAAAGAGAGGAGCAATGATTTGCCTAAAGAAGCAGCAATACACTGCTAACCCCATTCCAATATGATCAGTGCTGTACAAAGCCACTCTGGAATTAGCAACAAGGACAACTCCCAGCCTATGCCTGAGGCAGCTTGTTCAGTCAGCACAATAAGTTGATTCTGTCAGAGTAAGGCTCGTTATGAGTAGGTTGTGGAAAGATAAATTGGTTTCAGAGAACAAGCATCTCATTGAGATTTGGATCTCCAATGCACCCTGAATTTCTGTCTGTCTGTCCCCCCCGGCTCTCCCTCTCCCTTTCCATGTATTCAGTTGTGCGAGGGATGATAGAGGTGGATTGCAAGTTGTAGCATCAGTCCTCTGACCAAGTACTCAAGGGAAAAAATGACTGACAAAACATTTTTTTATGAGAGTTAAGTGTCATTTTAAAAGGAGGGCACTTTTGAGGGAGCAACTTAGTCATGAAATGAGTTCAGAAATTGGAAGGTTAGGACATCTGCTGAGTTGGAACTATTATACTTGATGCAAGGAAAGAGGGGAATCAGAGGAATAAATTAGTAAACTTCAGGCTCTAGAAGGCAGTAGGGTATGCCTCCCAAGGTTAGATTGATTCTTCTGATACCATTATGATAATCAGCATTTAATTGTTTATTGATTAAAATAAGTTGCTGATTCTTAACAAAAAAAGTTGCTGATTCTAATGAAAACACTAAAATAGCAACTAAAATGTTATGGTAAACTATTATAATCTAACCTAACACTAAAAATATAGTTCCAAGCAAATCTAATTAACTCATCTACCTGCAATGTGACATACCTGAAATAACATGTTGTACCTTATGTTCACCTTATCATGGTATAATGTTGATTCTATCTCTTGGGGAGGGATGATGGTGGAGGGGCTCCTCCTGCCTGCAATTACTTGTTGAGATCTTATAAACTGTATGGCAGATAAAGGACATTACATAGGTCTTCCCTTTGTTTCATAGGTGAACATATGTGAAGAATGTTAACTGGTCTAACAGCATATCAATCTTACAGGGGATTATATGCTACTCTTCTGGCATTTTGGTTCTGCAACACAGATAATGTCTTTTTTACTTTTCACTTCCAAATGGGGGCAGTTTCTTTTGCAGTTTTTTTTTCATTTTTTATTTTTAAATAATCATGCCTCTGACCATTCTTTTGTCATGAGGTTTCAAACTATTAGGGGATTATATGCTACACTCTTCTGGCATTTTGGTTCTGCAACACAGATTTTGTCTTTTTTACTTTTCACTTCCAAATGGGGGCAGTTTCTTTTGCAGTTTTTTTTTTCATTTTTTATTTTTAAATAATCATGCCTCTGACCATTCTTTTGTCATGAGGTTTCAAACTATTAATTGTTACTTCTTAAATGAAGGTGCCAGTGATTGGAATCTGCTGTCCTTAAGATTATCCTTCTGATGCTTTACAAAATCTTGTAGGTTCCATGTGCTATACATCAGGGTCCATCCAGATGGAAAATGTTTACCTCCCAGAAAATGAAGGAGGTATGTGGCAATGGTTTTTTGGAAGAAGTGTGACTAGTGTATTTCTTCTCAATCCTGGTCCAAATGATGGATTTGTTGGAATAGCTGCACCTTCTCTTGCGAGGATACTACCGGTCTGTATTTACAAAACATGTCAGTTTTAGTTGGTGATTTGCATTGTTAAATTATGCATTTTTCTGCCAAAATTCATTGTTAGGGTCTTTTAGATTAGGGACTTATGATACTTGTTTCTGGGATGTGACTAATTGCAGTAATTGTTGTTCAATCATTTGATTTGTGTTTTATCTATAGATTGATCTGGCAATGTTAGGTGGCGAAATTTTATGCCAGGTAGAGTTGATTCTCCGACACCAAGAAATTTGATAGAGCTTGTTTGTCATAATATCTTGTTTTGCTGTGAGCAACTTGATTTAGATATTCCTTCATTGTCTCTTGTTAGTTTAATTACCTTTATTGACCTTTTCTTTGTGTCGTATTCAGTGTTTATTTTACTTCATGGGTATGGTTGTTGTAGCCAGATGCGTTTCTTTGCTCGGTCAATGATGTGACTGTAACTAACTCTGTTGATCATAGACCCCGTAATGTTGTTGCTGGTCCAGAGGTGAGATCATGGCTGCATTTCCTTCTTTATATTTCCTAACGCTTTAAAAAAGCGGGGAGCAGCATGTAGTTGATCTTATGCTGCCTCCTAATTTATGTCCTTCGCTTTTTTTCTCATCCATTAATTTTGAATTCTGCAATTCAGTACGGTTCTGTCCATCTGTTTGATTGCGAAGTTGATGTTGTAGGGAATACTGAGACAGAAGCTGTCTGGCCAAGGGCTTGCTTTCATAGTTGCTGGTGGATCTGGTAAGAATTCCTTTCCTCAATCCTGTTTCTTTCTTATGCAACAATATTCTGTTTTCTAGAATTAGGTGAAATAGAAGACCATCTCATATTCATGACTGATATTATATTCTATAAGCTGAATACAAGTTCCCCAGACAAGCACAAACTTAAAAAATAAAGAAAAAAATAGTATTTCCCCACCAAAAAAAGGTGCCAGAGCTATTGGCAATGTTTTTTTTTGATCAGTAACCATCAACTTTCATTAGTTAAGAGTAGAAATTATTTAAATACAAAGGTGGGGAGAGGTAAACTCTCTTAACTCTCTCCCAAAAATAAATTTACTATGTAGCCCAAACCAAATGACTTCTTCCCACCCCTTGTTTGGCCAGTGCATCTGCAAATGAATTGGCACATCTTTTAACCCACTGCATACACACTTCCATTCCCTGAGTTAACCACTTGAGTTGTCTCTGTTCATTAATTTATGTCCACATCCCATCGTTTGCCTTCTTTGTCCAGCCAATTACCACTTGTGAGTCCCCTTCAATGATCAACCTATTTATATTTAGTTCCTTAGCCTTTTTCACCCGCTCTAGCAAAGCCAGAATTTCTGCTCTCAGTGAATCCCCAAACCCAATTGGTCCTGAATAAAGAGCTATTACTGAACCTGCCTCTTTGAAAACACCACCAATCCCTGATGGCCCTGGGTTTCCTTCGCTGCTCTCATCAAAGTTGAGCTTGATAAAGCCTTCCACCGGGGGATTTCATAAAGGATGAGTTATGATTCTGCTAGGAGCTGAGGCTGCTATTTCCTGCCAATTGTTCACAATGGTCTCTAGGGGAATGTCATGAAATATGTTTACTGTCTTTACCCACTGAGCCACCCTCAATGTAATCACCTCTATGATTGTCTCTTTGCTTCTTTCTTTTCAGAAAATAATCTTTGGTTCCTTTCCTCCCAAATTGTCCAACAAACTGCTGCCCTGGTGCACCTCCACATTATTCTTCCCTTCTTTTTGGTCAGGCTACCGACACAGTAGTTGAAGAGGCTTTGAATGCTTAAAGGGGGAGTCCACCTGCAACCAAATAAAGAAAGAAATCACTCCCAAATAGAAGAAACAAAAGGTCAGGAGAATAGTAAGTGAAAGCAAAATTCACCATTGGCTTTACAAAGGGTACACCAGTTTGGGGACAAGCACCAAAAAGGCTTTTTTCTTTGGATTTGATCACAAGTATTAATTCTTTTCAGAGCTATTTCCCAGCAAAGTGCTCCAACCCTAGGAGGGACCTGTCTCCCCCACACCTCTATAAAAGGAAAGGGAATGACAGGAGTAGGAGAAGGTTGAGTTAATGTATTGAAAAAAGAGGCACAAGTGAAAGATCCAGAAGAGGAAAGGGTAAAAAATTCAAGAATCCACCCTAGAAGGGTCCAAGAAGACCTTTTGAAGTACCTGAGCCAAGGATGACACCACATCCAACTCTGATTCTCTAAGACCTCATCTAAACCCCAGATCCCAATTTAGGTCAGGCCTTGATACAAAGGAGGAAACAAAGGTTGTGACATGTTTATTCTTGTACCTTGAAAGGTAGAATAAGGAAGGGAATTGGTCTTTAAGTGGTGCTTCCCCCACCCATACATGTTCCCAAAACCTTACCATATTCCCGGAACACAAATTATACTTGACAAAGGGTAGAAAACAAGGAAGGATGGTGCGAATAGCTTTCTAAGGTGCTGCAAAGGTTGCTCGAGCTGAATTCCTGCATCCCAACCATCAGCTGCCAACCCATGTATGCTCTTTAATCACCTTTGTCCACAATTTATCCTGATCTATCAGGAATCTCCACAACCATTTTCCCAACAAAGTCAGGTTCCTCTTCCGAATGTTCCCAATTCCTAGACCCCCAAACACCATACTTCTACTTGCCACTTCCCATCTTACCCTATGGTCCCTCTTTTCCTCTCCAAGCTCCCACAAAAAATCTCTCATTAACTTCTCTATCCTTCTACAAATCCTCGTGGGCATCCTAAAAACCGATAGGAAGTAGACAGGAAGATTGGACAAAGTTGATTTGATTAAGGTTATTATTCCACAAAGAGAGAGATAATTCATTTTCCAAGAAGCTAGCCTTTTTGAGAATCTGTCCACCACCGGGTTCCAAAAATTCACACTTCTAGGGTTGCCCCCTAGAGGTAGTCCCAAGTAATTCAGTGGCCACTAGCATACCTCACAACCCAAAATTATTTCACATTCTGATACCTCTCTATCCTCCATGTTAATGCCTATCACACAGCTCTTACTGAAGTTAATTTTCAAATTCGACATTTTCTCAAAAATTTGAACGAACTCCTTCAGATTCCTCATCCAATTTAGATAACCTCCCTCACAGAATAAGATGGTATCAGTGGGTAATAGGCACTCTTTCTCTTCTCACTCTCCAGCCTCTCACCAAACCCTTTGAATCTGCTCTCTGGATAAGGATACCTAGCACTTCAGCTACTAGGGTGAAAAGGAAAGGAGAGGGGGGGTCCCCTTGTCTAATACCTCTAATGGTTGGAAAGTGATCCGCTACTGTACCATTTACTAGAATCGAGTAGTGACATGTACTTATGCAGCCTTTAATCCACTTGCACCACCCATCTCCAAAGCCAAAGTTCCTCATCACTTCCAATAAGAAATCTCAGTCCACCAAATCATATGCTTTCTCTAAATTTAGCTTACAAATCAAACCTTTCTTTCCAGATCTTTTCAGCTCCTCCACACTCTCATTAGCAATGAGAATTTGATCAATGATCTTCCTATCCATGACAAAGGCACCTTGATTTAAGGAAATAATAGAAGGAAGCACCAACTTAATTCTTCTTGGAAGCACCTTAGCAATGATTTTGTAAAGGCTATGGACCTGATTGATGGGCCTAAAGTCTTTTGGTTGGATTACCTCTGCTTTCTTTGGAATCAAAGCAATGAAGGTAGAATTTAATCCTGGATTTATTACCCCCTTCTAAAAAATTCATCAAACACCTTTTGTAAATCCTTAAACTAGACAGGGCTAACTGTGGAAGGGGACTCCTAGATGGTTGTGGGGTGGCTGAGATGAAACAAAATGGTATCTTTGACTTCCAGTCTTGTTTTGAGGGAGATTAGACACTTGGATGAGGAGTTGAACACCATCTACAATTGGACCGCAAGGCTTGCCAACCATATGGCAGATGGGTTAGCAAACAGAGGGGTGAGCAGGAATCACATGTATTGGGGGTTGGTCCCCCAAGGGGAATTGTAAAGAACTTGGGTGTGGCTAGTGAGATTAGGCCAACTAAAGGGTGCAAAACAAATCTATGTATATAATACTCTTTCATATCATTCTAATATTTGGCGGTTACTATAAAAAAATGGTATGCACAATAATAGTGAGTGTACCTTTGTCTCAAATGCATAAATGAACTTAAAAGCTTTCAAGAACCAAGATATTGCTTTTACCATTTCCAATTTAAGTCTCCTAAATTTAAGATCTGATCAGTAAATCCTGACCTGGTTTTCTGTCATTGGATCGATAGAATAACAATAAGACCTTCACTTAAATGTACCAATAGAATATGTGCAGGACGTGGAACTAATGATTATGGTGTTTAGACTGTTGCCACCTTTCCCATGTTGCACAGGTAGCTCTGGGTGTTCTTATTTCAGTTTTCTGTAATATCTACGCTACCTACATTTAGTTGTATCACTGCCTTTAACTTCTTAGCATGCAATTACATTAGGTAGAACAAACGTATGAATATCTCTTTTTTTGATAGTAAAAAAAGTTCACATTTTTTGATAGTAAAGAAAAATTTTCATATTTTTGTTATATGGAAAAGAAACAAGAATGTCTCACGACTTCCTAATTAGTTTTATTTAGAAGTTTTCTATACTCTGAATTCCCTCCTGTTTGAACTAACCTTTGGATAACTCTGGGACTTCAATTTCTGTAGTTGTACAGAAAAATCTTGATGTTGGTGAAGTACTGGTTGTTGATGCCTCTTGTATTGTTGCCATGTCTGCTACCATCAATTTCCAAGTCAAATTCTCTGGCCCAGTGAGGCGCGCGGTATTCGGGGTGAGTTGCTTTCTTCTACTCTCTTTTCTTTATTTTTATCAGATTTATATTTTTAAATTGCATGTCATAATTCATTGAATTGTTTTTATGGAGTGATTTGGGAGCATCTCATTTCTGATAAGAGAGTGTACCAGGTTGAAATTGTAACCCTAATAGCTGCAGGAAATTGGTGATGTAGGACTAGCTCAGTTCTAGTCCTTAGAGAATGTTGAATGGTCTTCTTTGATCAGAATAAGAGAGAAAATAGGGAGAGAAAGAACAGAGAAAAATACCTGGAATCACTCACAGAGTGCCTAGAATCACTCACCATAGTTAACATAGGCTGAAGAAAACTCAATATATTTCATTCCTTTGTGTAAAACGTTCATACATAATTATAGACTCTAAACTCATAATAATCATAGGAGTCAAACTATTACACTCATAATCGTTTTAGGATTCAAACTGTTAGACTCAATAATCCTAGTAAGACTCGAACTAACCTGTCATATCCTATTTCAATTCAAAGAAGACTCAATAACTCTAGTCCTACTTATGCAATGACTCGAAAATTTTAAACATAAACAACTATAAATAGACAATCAAACCCTATTATTATTAAATTTTCTTTTCAGAAAAAATCAAACCCTATTATTGAACCCTACAGAAAAATTATAAAATGGCAAAAATACCCTTGGTGTTCAATTCAGTCCAAATCCCAAGTACCATCACTATGCCATATCAGGACTTGTTGTAAGGTCTTCTTTCTAGAATAAGTCTTCAAGGGTGCTAATCGATTCCTATCATCTCTCCCTAGCTTGAAAGAACTCAACCCCAGTGAGTTAAAAGCATGGTACCTTTCATAAAGATCTGGGTTGAGACGATAAAGTCTTCAGCAATGATCCAAGAACTCTCGGACATAGGCTTGCCTTTCCACTTGATAAGGAATTCCTGATACCCTCCTGTAGCAATAGATATTATTTCCTCATCTAAAACATCCTTTGGAATGTCATTTGGAGTTGCAATAGTTGGCAACTTAGGTATAGGAGTCTTAAAAGAATCCACATGTCCATGATAAGGAGTGGAGCTTCTTGTACACACCTTTTGGAAGATGCTCTAGTCGTATTCGTATCATAACCATGATTCCCTCTTGATAATTTGCCAACTGTTGATGAATATCAACTCTAGCCTTGTATAAATCATGCTAAATGCAATTTTTTTTTGCTAACATCATCATGTATCACTCTTATGTGCCTAGCAAAAGCTTCTACTTCAATGCTATTATGTGTATCTGGTGGTAAGGTAACTAAGTCAATTGGCCGCTTAGGATGAATACCAGTCACCACTTCAAATGGGTTTCTTCCTGTGGATCTATTTACTAAGCTACTTATAAGCAAATTCAGTTATTTATTGAGCTGTTATAAGCAAACTCCATGGATAAATCTTGCCATGATTCATGAGGAATAGGTAGGGGTATAGCCCGGTGTTTTGCTTTTGTCCCTTGGCAAGTTGGCATGTCCTGCATTGCTTTATTATATGAGCAACATCATTCTTCAAACTAGGCTAATAAAACCTATCTTCCACCATGGCAATGGTCTTATCTCTACCAAAATGACATGCTACACTTCCAACACGTAACTTCTAAATAACAAAGTCCCGTAAAGAGGTATTTGGTAGACATAGCAAGTATCATAAAACAGATAACCGTTATGTAGTGAAAAGGATGGATACTCATCTTGCTTCCCAGATTGTCAGTCAGTATAGATGATGCTGAAATTCTTACAACCAGCATAGTCTTGCTTTATTTGATCAAAACCAACGACTTGGACATTCATGGAATGAAGTATGTAAGCCATCTGACTTAGCGCATCTACTACTTTATTTTCATTTCCAGCTTGGTGCTTAAGAACAAAGTTGTATTCTTTGTGGAACGAAATCCACTTTCCATGCCTATAGTTTAGTTTCTTTTGGGAATTCAAGTACTTTAAAGCTTCGTGATCTGAATAGAGCACAAACTCCTTAAATATTAAGTAGTGTCGCCAATGTTGTAGAACTTGCACTACTGCATATAACTCTTTGTCGTAAGTTGACTGTTTCTGCTTGGCTTCATTTAGTTTCTCACTATGAAATGAAATGGGATGGCCTTCTTGCATGAGAGCCCCTCCAATTCCTACACCGGATGCATCCCATGCCTCTTCAAAGACTTTAGAGAAGTCTGGAAGTTGTAAAATAGGTGCCTGTCATTTTCTTCTTGATAGTCTCAAATGCTTTTGTTGTTGCCTTGGTCTAATTAATTTCACCTCTTTTCATTGCATCAGTAATTGGAGCCTTGATAGTGCTGAACCCCTTAATAAATCTTCTATAAAATGTTGCTAAGCCATGGAAGCTTCTAACCTCTTGAAGATTGGTGGGGAGGGGCCATTCTAAGATATACTTTACTTTCTCGGGATCAACACTTATGCTTTCAGCAAAAACAACAAACCCTAAAAATATAACTTTGGGCGACATGAAAGAGCATTTCTTTAAGTTGATGTAGAGTTTCTCTTGGCGTAAAACTCTCATCACTTGATGTAAATGATCAATATGCTCTTTTGGACTATGACTATATATAAGAATATTGTCAAAATAAACAACTAGGAAATGACCAATGAAGGATCGAAGTACTTGGGTCATCATCCTCATGAAAGTATTAGGGGCATTGGTAAGTCAAAATGGCATAACTAACCACTCGTATAAGCCATCTTTTGTCTTAAATGTTGTCTTCCACTCCTCACCAGGCCTAATCCATATTTGATGATAGCCACTCCTTAGGTTGATCTTCGAAAAAATGGTCGCTTCAGTCATCATATCAAGCATGTCATCAAGCCTAGGAATTGGGAACCTATACTTGATAGTAGTTTTGTTGATTGCTCTACTATCAATGCACATACGCCAAGAACCATATTTCTTTGGAGTGAGAAGATCTGAACAACACATGGACTAAGGTTTTCTCTAATAAAACCTTTCTTTAGGAGGTCATCAACTTATCGTTTAAGTTCAACTTGCTCTATAGGATTCACATGATAAGCTGGTAAGTTGGGCAATTATGACCCTGGCTGCAAGTCAATAGCATGTTGAATGTCTCTCATGGGAGATAAATCATTAGGTAGCTCTTCTGGTGCCAAATTTTAAAACTCATCCAACACATGGACCACTTCTTTAGGCATTTCAGTAGGTGGAACAATATCTGGTTGTTTGGTTGTTTTACTTCCTTGGATATTACAACATATACATCTATTGTCTCCTTGCTTTCTACTTCAAACTCTTTTTTGGAGAGCAAATGCAACGGTTTTTTCTTAGATTCAGCAACAGGCCCTTGGGCTATAGTCTCATTTTGAGGTGGCTTGGCATGCCTTTTAATAACTTCCGGTGACATTGGCTTCATGATAACTCGCTTCCCATTAAATAGGAAGCGATAGGTGTTCTCCCTTCCACAATGGTAGATATCCCTATCATATAACCAAGGCCTTCCAAGCAATATGTGTGTAACATTCATAGGAACAATGTCACACCAAATAGAATCGGAATAACTACCAATAGAAGTAGTAACAAGGGCTTGTTTAGTTACCAAAATTGTTGTCTTATCAACCCAAGCAATCTTGTATGGTTGTGGTGTCAACTTTAGCCGATCTATAGTGCCTTAGAAATCACATTCATACTACTGCCACCATCTATGATAAGCTTACAATACTTGTTTCCGCTCTTTACTATAATTTGAAATATTGCTGTACGAAGCCAATCTTCCTTGATTTCTTCCTTTGGGGATGCAAGAATATGCTGAACAACAACAACATAGTTGTTGTTTCCATCTAAAGCATCATCATCAGTGAAAGAACAATCCTCTTCTTCAGCTAAGTCATCACCTGGGCCATCTACCACTTCAATGCCTTCTTCATAAATGACATTAACGCTTTTGGTAGGACATTGGTAAGCCATATGGCCCTTTCCTCCACATCTAAAGCAACTAGTATCAGGCTGTTTTTTCTGACTAACACCACTAGCAACTGATTTACTCTTATAGTCAGCCCCTTGATAAGGTCTAGACCCACTGGGCTTATTAGAGCTGGCATTAGAATATGCCAGCCTAGAAGTCTTTCCCCCATCAACTTGCTTATGAGCTGCATACTCTCCGGATTGTAATACAAATTGCCTTGTATTTGTTTGCTTTAAACTCTTCTCAATTTTGACAGCAACTTGGTAGGCATCCTCCAAGTCAAAGACGCGAGTAATTACCATCTCTTTCTTGATTTTAGCCCTTAGTCCATTTTTGAATTGAGCCAACTTTTGCCTCTCACTTTCAGTAGTATCACATCTAATAGATAATTCATCAAATTTATGCATGTATTCAATTACAGATAATGTACCTTGCTTGAGGTTAGTCAATTCCTCATATAACTCATCTTGGAAGTCCATTGGGAGGCACTTGTGCCTCAAATGTTTCTTCATTTCTGACCATGTAGAAATAGGACCATCACCTTTATTCTCTAATCGTTGCTCCATGCTTCTCCACCATACTTTAGCATGACCACCAAGCTTCATACGTGCAAATCTCATCCTCCGATCATCAGTCATGTAATACCATTCAAAATATTCCTCCGGTGCAGCCAGCCAATCTGAAAAAGATTGAGGATCTAAATCTCCATTGAAATCAGAAATATCCACCTTTACCTTCTTGGTTATATCAGCTACATAACCACCATGTTCAGCTTTTTCCATCATCTCATCAAATAGATTTTTGAGTGATTCTTCTTGATCAATCCCTTGATGGGTATTTTGGGCTCAATTAGCTTGTGCAGGTTGTACCCTTGTGCAGTTTGCAGCTCTTTTCCGTCCTCTATGATTAACAGATCCTTCATCTTCACCATTATCATTTTCATGGACTGCTCCCTTGTTTCATCCTCCATCCCTTTCATTGATTAGGGGTGCTTCTTGCTGGATTTCTTCTTCTTTAGGTTCTTGAAGTTCTTTTACTTGTGCTTCAA